AGTGGGACTTCCCCGTTGTAGGAGCATAACACTTGGACAAAGTTAGATATATTTCACCAGGGGCTTGAAGTTCTTTTTGTTTGCCTGAATGTAGCAGTTGCTTGATGTGTGGTAAAAATCCTTGATAGTATTGCACTTATACCTAGGACTTATTTACAATCAGTTAGCAAGCCAAAAAAAAGAAGCCTGCAAAGACTTGGAAAATCTCAAACTTCCTTTGACGACCAAGCACTCGCTGGCTGCACCGTTTCATCATCTTTCACTATCTTGTAGAACAGCACAGCGGTTGAGATAATAACGGTGGCTGCACATCATGCCTTGAGCGCCAGGTAGTAAAAGACTCGACATTTATAGTCTTCCTTCCCCGCTCTCGCAAAGCTCCCGTCTCTGCCAGCAGAAACAAGAAAGTGGAAAGCGGAGAGCAAAAACGCTTTTGCAGGGGAGATCTCTGTCCACCGCAACTTGCGCGAGCCATTTGTTGATGTTTTTGTGTGTGAAATCCTCCGTGTGTGGCATATAGATACGTCTAAGAACGCTCTAAACTGAAGTGCCTTCAAGTATTGACGCAAAACGAATCCTATTGAAGTTTACCGACCTCTGTTCCACTCGAGAGGTCCTCTTTTGTGACACCGAAATTTATTGCCCCTGCTCTCCATTCAAGTATTCTGTTGGGTTGTATATCTTGAGTTTTACAACTGTGTCTATATCTTATCAAGTGTGTGTCTGTGTGTCACGTGTTCTGTGGGAAGCGGAACTGCTTCGCAGTGAGAACTTTGTATAAGGGAAACACCTAATTGGGACTAATTAGCTTAATGAGGAGCAACAGTAAAATATCACACAATACCTCACTGATCACCTTTGTCTGTCTCGTGTTTCATCTTTAATGCATTCACTCACACACACCCACACATACTCACTTGCACATAAAGTACTCCTTTGTCTAAATCAATTCAGTTAGTTGTGAGCTTGTACTTTCTGTCCTTTATTCACACAGTTTTCTGAAAGCAGCTCTGGTCCTCGTATCTGCTCCTTGGATCATTTTGCAAGTTTTATGAGATGTTTTATGAAACAACAGAAAGTTCTACTGATCTCTTTTTTCCTTCCTTGTTTGATTGTGTTGTTTTCTTTCTGCTTCCCTTTTTCAGAGACGTTGATGGACACAAAGTGGGCCACGACAGAACTGGCTTGGACTGCACATCCTGAGACTGGGGTGAGTTTACTGGGCATAGTGAGCATTGTGTTGTGTTAATAATGAGCAATACTCATACTCATAGGCTATGTTTTACCATTTGATGCAATTAAAATATTTTAGGCAGCAAAACAAATGATCCACTGACATCTAATTCACCTGACTGACCTGATTGACTCCCTCCTGACTCCTCTTGAAAAGTGCAAAAAGAAAAAAAAGCATTGGTGTTGTCATGAAGTTCCCTTCTAAACGCTGATAAATGTCTCAGCACCCAAATCTACCTCACACAAAGTGTCCATGACAGCCTCACATGGCTTTCCCATGTGGTCTCCACAATGGGGCAAAAAGAGCCTCGACCCCTCCTCGGCTGTACTTCAAAGACTGCCAGCACTCCTCCCTTGCCTTTGTGTGGTCCTCTGACTTGGCCCTTGTGTTTTGAACGATGGGCCCCCTTTTTTTTAGTATATTTTTGCTCTTACCACAACACACTTGTCGGAGGATTCTTCCCCAGCTGTTCGAAGTCACCCACCCTCTTTATGCTCCTTTTCGCCTAGCCATTAAACATTAACTGTGCCAGACACACACTAGCCACCTCAGCTGTAAACAATCAGGAGGACAAACCCTCTCACAGCCTGGCACGTCCCATTTCTGTTCCCCCTTCCCTCCAAACACACACACACACCTCTTCATCCTGTTACGCTACAATGCAGCGGTGATGCTCCCACGAGGTCCAGGCAGACATGGTTTAGGAAGCTAAAAAACATGCCTCTCTGTTTCTCTTCCAAGCAAACCTGCAACAGATGCTCCTTCTCAGTAGATGTACATACAGTGGCTGCCCTTTTGCAATCCAGATTTCCCACATTACCTGCCAAAAGGGTGGAGATGAATTTGTCCCCTTGGCCCTTTTTCTTTTTTGGGTGGGTGTGTGTTTGCAGCAGAATGTGCCACAGACAGCATTTGTTGTCCCTGAGTTATTTTTCCACCCTTTGTGTGTTTGTGTACGCGTTTCCCCTCCTTTTATTTTTTCCCTCCCTCCCTCACTTTCGCTCTCAGTCCCTCGCTCTCGCAAAATCAATCGTCCGTGTTGCCTTGTTCCTTTCTTCACGTAGACTTTTATTGTATACGTGTTTGTTTGCTCTCGCAGCCTCGCGGTGGGAACGACCCAACCTGTTTTTGTTGTGTGTGACGAGTGTTTAAGAGAAACCGATGCCGTGGATAAGAGGACAAACAAAGCAGCCTGCGGGGAAAGGGACGAGAGAGAAAGAGAGAGAGAGAGAGAGACAGGGTTTCAGGAAAATCCAGAGCGATGTCCGTGCGTCAAGAAGGAAAGAGTGTATGAGACAAATCAGTTCCTCAAAAAGCAAATCTAACACTACACATTCTCTCAGTCACGCCAACCACGAATCATATCGTCTCCATCTTTTTAAACAACATTGCAAAACACATGCAAATGAAGCGACGAACATAAAGCTACACAGAAGCTGCGTTTGTAAGCACAGGAAGTGTCTTTACATGCTCCAACACTAGGTTGTTGTGTTTTACACACATTCTTTTATATTCTTTCACGTCTCTGTTTGCTATGGTATGTGCATTTCTCAGTCTGTCTGCATCTGTCTTTATAACCTGTGGCATCTCTGTATGAGGCGTGCATGCATGCAGCTCAGCACCAGTTTGGTGATGCGTTTGGATTTCCAGCATTCATTATGTCTCCATGTGTGACGCGTGAATATTTGTCTATAAATCATGCCGTGTATGTTCCAAACCAGATGGGCGAAGAAGAAGGGGGAATTCCGCTGAGTAGCTCTCCTCAGACCCGGAAAGATACCCTCAGGGCTTTCCCTGAGCATACGTTGACAACAATATATGAAGTTAGCGAGCCTACAGAAATAATAAGTATTGTCGGTATATGACTGTCTCCTTCATAAGACCACCTTCCCTGCACAAAACGTGTCATAAACAAGCTGGAACAGTATTAAATTAGCCTTAGTGGGATTATTGAACCGGTTAAACAAACAACAAAATAAAAACACACTAATTGGTTGCATTGAGCTTGTTGGAACTTTCAGCATTTCAGGCAATGCCTGAAGCTAATAATAATAGTTTATCCATGTTGCCATGAAGGTTTCTTAGAGTAAATGTTCTCTTTTAATTCATCCAAGGTCGAAGGACGAAAAAACATAATAAAACTGGCAAAAAAAACAGCTTCAAATGATGATTTTGGGAATTATTGTTGCACCAAAATGTGCAATGTGTAAGGCCCATGCATTGCCGTCTGGAGGTGAAAGTTAAAGCTTTGATTGGAAAGGACAAAGAGAAAACAGAGAGGCTCGCCAATCTTGCATAACAATTCATCTTGTTGAAAATCGATGCCAAGAAACTTGACCCTTTTTTGCACAACATGCTTAATTCATTCAGGCTTGGTAAGCAGGCTCTCAGATTGTTTGCCCACTGGTGCATGTCTGACGGGGGGTTGGTTGACCCCTTTCTAACTGCACGCATACACAAACAGACCCACACCTATACACATATATATACTCTCGAACAAACACAGAGTGAGCACAAACTTGGCCAGACAAGCTCGCATGAGCAAATTTATACAAACGCACAGCCACAAAACACTTGGCCGCATTGCTCTTTTGCGCAGGGTGATTTATTACACTAAACTAAATACCCATTGACACTTCATGCTTTTAGCCATTCCATTGACCTGGCTGGTGATTATCGATTCCCTCTGGTCGCTTCCTCCTTCTCTCCCGCTCTTGTGGGGCCATCATTTTAATGCCACAGCCAAACTACACCCATTCTTCCCCCTGTGTCCCTCACGGCCTCCACGGTCTTGGATGAATAGCCTTGTCTCCACCACATCCATATCACAGCCTTAATTAAGATGCTTCGAGCTCAGAAGGAAACGACTGGCTCTAAAGAGGGAAAGCGGTATCTATTTACCCGAGTGTTGAGGAAGGCAAATGCTTTGAGGCAAAATCCAGCCCCAAGAACATAACAATGCAATGTCACAGGTTCAGGTAGCGAGTTCGCCAGTTACGCTAAATATGCACTATGCATTTGGTGTATAGTTTTAGCAGTCATCTCAAGGCGCTTGAGGATATTGCAAGGTAACGACCCTACAGTAATACAGAGAAAACCCCCAAAATCAAACAAATTCTGAGCAAGCACTTGGCGACAGAAGGAAGGAAAAACTGGCTTTTAGCAGGAAAAAACGTCTGGTAGAAGCAGACTCAAGAAGTGACAACAATCTGTCACGACTGGTCAGCCCGTTCTCACTCCCGAGGCGTAACATGCC